GAATGAGTCTACCCGTCGTGTTTTCACCACTGTTTGTTTTCTTTCTGAGCCGTTCACTAAGCAACCACTATTGATAGAAAAGGCAGTCGGAGGCGGGCTCCTGCACCCAGGGTACAGCATCGTGATACGTGAAATGGTGGTGTCAGTACGACGAGGGAGGGTCTCAGTACGGCCCTTCCGCTTCCCCAACACCTACCTACCATTTTCCTACAAGTTCATAAGGGGGAGGTCGTCAACCAACTTATTATTAACTTATTTCCAAAATACGATCCCCCCTCCTCAGCGGCCAAGTACGACCCCCATGTATTTCACATAGCGAGGATGCACCCTGCTTGTACCCCTCCTGTAGTCACCCTTCCTGTTTGCGACAATATGAACCATACTATGGTAAATATTGTTGCCGATATCTTCCTTCTTTTTAAATCGGAAAAAAAACAAAAACTTGTCACCTTGCAGAGTAAGAATCACAGATCAGTTACCAAGAATTACGCTAATCATAGGAATCGGTTGCTTCAGAACCTTTTCAAGCTACTGATCGAAGAACATTGCAGTTGACTTTCAACGCCGGCAAAACTGTTCCTGACAGTGGCAAACATTACTTTGCTGTTTATTATATCAAGGCTCCCGATGAAAAGAAGGTCGTTGTTTCAACAACATCTTCGTAAGCACTGTCACATCGAATTGACTATTGTTTCAGGCACCCCGAGCAACGTGGGCTGATCACAAAGGAGAACCAGAGGGTACAAAACGTCTTTACATCGACTTCAAAAAGGTCTTCCTTTCACAAATCTGAAGTCCGAGTGTTTCGATCACCTGTTGTGATTTAGGAGGGAGAAGAGGAGAAGAAAGAAGAAAAGAAAGACGAGGAAAAGAAGGAGGAGAAGAAGGATGAGGAGAAGAAAGAAGAGAAGAAAGATGAGGAGAAGAAAGAGGAGAAGAAAGAGGAGGAAAAGAAGGACGAGAAGAAAGATGAGGAAAAGAAGGAGGAAAAGAAAGATGAAGAGAAAAAAGAAGAGAAGAAAGATGTCAGTACTCTTACATATATCTGACATGGTCAAGCATATCATTGCCATATTGATCAACGATATTCTTTTCAGGAGAAGTAATGACGTCACCGATGAAGTTTTGAGTTTGATGGCCGTCATTAAAAATTATATAAATGATGTGCATGAGTAAATTGTTTATGGAGGTGCGAATGAAGGACGTACGGCCAGCGAAAATTTATTTGAGCGTCATTAGCAGAGCTGGCGCTGAGATGACAAGAACTGGTTGAAAACACCCTGCAACTTACTATCTGCTGCACTGTTCGCAGTACTATTACTCGACCCATGTTTCGAAAGGAACGAATGTTGAAAGCTCTGTTTAGTGGGAGTGAAACAGGCATGATGTTCTTGACATAGAAAAAGTTTGTCCCTCCTTACAAGGGAGGTCTTTCAGGTCGTGGCGCGCTTTTTGGAAATGGTTTGTTGCTTGTTGTAGGGGTCCATACAAGGATCACAAAATGGGTTTCATTTTTGCTATGCGTTTCTGGGGAGGTCAAAAACTGAGTGAAAAGAATTTGACAAGAATGGGCGATTTTAACTATCTTAATGGGCTCCGTTCTGATTGTAACTTCGAGCATGCATAGTTTATGAGGTGCTCGTTAATTAGGCTTCGAAAATAGTTTCAAATAAAGTCAAAATGTAAGTATCATGTAGTAACACACTTGGCATGCACCGACGCAACAGTGATGTTTTTGTCAGCGGTCCCCTCATGCTCACTGTCGGCGGATCGGACGGTCGGATGACGCAGCGGATAACTCGATGGATTCTGGATGGAACGACGATACGACTTTTTGGATCGGATCCACCTTGTGGCAATTAGGCTTCTCCACACAATCGAGCTGGTTTGTAAGGTATCAGAATGAAGAATATGCCTTCAAATGGCTATACTTGGCTTATTTCCACTGCTAGACACACAGGAACGCGAATGAATAGAAAGCTGAGAAATGCAAAAAATTGCCACAAGGAGGATCCGATCCAGAAAGCCCGTATCGTCGTCCCATCCAGAATCCATCGAGTTATCCGCTGCGCCATCCGATCCGCCGACAGTGAGCATGAGGGGACCGCTGACAAAAACATCACTGTTGCGTCGGTGCATGCCAAGTGTGTTACTACATGATACTTACATTTTGACTTTATTTAAAATATTTTCGAAGCCTAATTAACGAGCACCTCATAAACTATGCATGCTCGAAGTTACAATCAGAACGGAGCCCATTAAGATAGTTAAAATCGCCCATTCTTGTCAAATTCTTTTCACTCAGTTTTTGACCTCCCCAGAAACGCATAGCAAAAATGAAACCCATTTTTAAGATCCTTGTATGGACCCCTACAACAAGCAACAAACCATTTCCAAAAAGCGCGCCACGACCTGAAAGACCTCCCTTGTTAGAACATCTTCAGATTGGCTGCTATTCGTCCGCATCTTCTTCTCATTGGCTGCAAGGAAAATCATTTCGAGATCGTAGCTGAACCATTCGAGCGTTACTGCAACATCCATCAAACCATAGCTCCAGTTGGTATCATCGCAAACAGTCAGATCGGTTTCAAGCGGGCTGATCAAACCGGCAGCGTTCCCACCACTAGTTATCTTCTTCTTGAATCGGATCGATTCAGGAAGAAGACAACTAATGGGAACGCTGTCGATCACCATTGGTAGAGCAAAGCAGCCGGAGGCGTTGATCGCGATGTTACAAACTATACCTGATCCAAATTTGAATTCGAAACCTGTCAGATGGTCACTATACCTCTATCCAACTAGGAGAATTAGGTTGCGTTCAGACTTTGCGATAGAAGCGCGTCGACGCTCTGTTGCCAACTCCTACCCTTCTCTACTCTCTAACACTGGTGACCGGCCCCAATCGATATCCGTGTATGGCTTCGTTCTCATTTATGGAACTGGAGGGCTGCTGAAACGATAGTGCTTCGAAGTGCGTTAAGGCGAAGTATGAATGCTGCACTGAGTATGTGTGCGAATCTCTGTCCATTTTAGATACAGCGCTCGCGATCAACCAAGGTGCAAGAATCCTTTAGTGTACAAGATGGCGGAGCTTGTGGTCACAGAGGATATCCCACTTTCGTGGCTCAAAAGCGCTTGATAAAAGCGCGACAGCTCAGCAACGATAAGCTGACTCTGCCCAAGAAAGCGGAGTCAACAAGTTCCGTCATCCTCGATCATTTTTTTATTATCAAGACATGTTAGCGTTTATGATTACTAATCTTGTCCAATATGCCTTGGAGAACGAGTCGCAGCAAGTGATGATTAGATGCAGAGAACTCGTCCAAGACTCGATTAACTCGTCCATTTTCAATTCCGTAATGAGGTCTTTTAGGGCATTTTCAACGGTTGCTTTTGCTTTTTTCCTCGTCGGCATTGTACATGAAGCATAATCTTATAGTTCTGAGCTTTACAACCTGCGAAAGGCAATCGCGGGCGCTCCGCTAGTCCGCTCGCCCCGTGCTCCGAGGTTCAGAGCTTTCTTATCGACTGATTCGCCATATTTCACAACATAACTTCGCAGGAACCAATTTCGTGTCTTTAGTTACAAAGGTGCTCACTGCATAACCTTCCTGACACTTTCATTACTAACTATCCAGTTGAATCCAACCGCAGGCCCATCTCAGTAACCCACATCTGCCTTTCATGGCTCCTGCATAAGGTGCAGACCGTGAAAGCGTCGTAGACCTTACCACCCTTCTATACTTTGCCCATGGTTGCATTGCGGCATACTTGATCGCAAGGGGCGCCTATGGAGTCCGCACACATAATCTATTGGGTCGGCCCACAAGTGGCGTTTCTTCCTCACACGAAATATCCCACTAAAGTAGAAAAGTTTAGCATTTGAGTTTTATACTTTTGCAGAGAATTCCTTGCCCTATACGACAACCTATTGAATTTTTTTTGAAGATCCTCTTCCATGAACATTTGAGTGCTCAAACCGGATGGCAGATCGACGAAATCAAGCATTTTCGCCGCGATCTTTTTACCTCTACGTAAGCGTACGCTTTTGAACACCAGTATACTCTTTCTTGTCTTCGACCACTAGGTCTTGCAATTATTAGATATGGATTAGCAAAAGATGCCTTGAATAATTACACTGCACATCCCAGCGATGGAGTGGGCATGGCTGTGTACTCTTGTTGAACATGGCCTTGCTGGTGGAACGTTTCCATTCGATACAAGTGTCTCTTTTCTTGTACTGATTATAGTCATGGTTGCAACTGTTCCGAACCTACAATACCATCCAGAAGCGCAGTTGCCGCCACGTTTTTAATGAAGTACGCAGTTACGGGTTCTCCATCTCTGGGATAAGGAGTGTATGTGGCGATGTCTAACAGTAACTGAGAGTCGGTAAGGGTCAACGCTAGGGCGAAGAAAGGCAGGTTGGTTCCAGAAACATAAATACATGAGAGCCTAGTATTGAAGGCCAGGTTTCCTTCGCGAAAACCTGTGTGAAGCTTACATGCACGAGGTGACAAGTATCCAGCTATCAGAGGAAAGGAAATGACTAAAGAATGAGCTAAATTTTTGGAACAGAGCCTTGAACTTCATATTTGATTACAGAATAATGTGAAATGACTGGACTGTTGGAAGGCTATCTATTGATATCATATCACGGTCAGCGTCCTCATTCCTTTTCTTATCACGTTACTCTTGCTATAAGGATACCTAACATTTGGTATCTTATCGCTGTTTATTGAGGGTTCTCTTGCCACGCACCGCCCCTACCCCTCTGACTGTAAGAGCGATTTTTGACACATGCACGTGTGAATCGAAACATGATATAAGTCCCAGGCGCCTTTCCCAGGGGTGACGAAGGTGGTACTAAGGCCATTATCCCTGCAAACTACAGGGTGTGTGGGGTCCGTAGATTCGCAGCCAGGGCGGTGTTTCTCCTATCCCCCCCCACCCACTCCCCACCATCCCTTCCCCAAATGATGCCATCCTGAGCACACGAGAGGTGGTTGAGGCTGCTCTGACTGCGTTCTAGTCCACGCATCGTACTCCCCCTCGCTTGCAGAGATAGGGACTTTACATATCTAAAGTTGTTGGCCATCTACCTCACAGGTGGTAGGGATTTTCCTCCCCCTCCCCTCCCCCAGGTACATAATCGTAGACACCGGATTGAACCTACGAAATTTGTTAAGTGGTGAGGGCCCGCTCCATTCCACAATTTACGAATTTTCACTTCGCAAAAAATCAACAAACGCATCTTGCATCTTCCTCTTGCATTCCTCTCATACCTGAACGGGTTTATACCTGAACAGTGAGTGGGAGTGATTACCTCCTCACATTAGTCTAGGTGAGTAGTGCTGGACCTCCAGATGAGCTTTGTAGAGTGACACATAATCCGACACCAGCTCCACAACGAAACTTTCCCTAGCGACTTCTGCTCTATTATTCATTCCGTTGGGAGCTTAAAACACTAGATAAGGCTAGCGCAAAGGTTATTTGTTCAAATGAGACTGCCTGCATGCTCACAATCAGTCGATACGTCTCGCGAGCAAACTCCTATTGTT